GACGTGGGGACCTGGGGACAGCAAGGAAACCCTCTACACAGTACGGTTGTGATTTCTGGAAGGGAAGGAGCATTTCAGCCCAGCCAGCCGTAACGGTGTCCCTTTAAATCCTTTCAAACAGTAACACATCTATTGCCAAAAATGATCTGATAATGGAAAAAGAGAAAGAGAGCAATGATACACAATGAGTCATCATCTTCTAAGTGCGTATTTAACTCCCTTGTCTTTGGCAATGACAAAAGCTAGACTCCTGCCAGAAGCAGGGTAAGGTTGCCCCCAAGAGGCAAATCCTATACAGCAACTTCAGACTGAAGCCGTCACACACGAGGTCTTGTGTTGTTTCCTTTGGAGAATACAGAAAAGCAGAATAGGTTACATTAAGTGTTTTTCCACCACTTGCTGTCCAAAAAAAAAAATAAAGATGCCTCAGAATTCAAATAAAACTGGAAATATCAAGCACATCAGCATATCTCCTCAAGTTATGCTGAAGCATTTGATCCCATCATAACCTTGCTCCCAGGGACATCTAAAGGAAATATCATGCTGTTGAAAGCGGCACAGATGCTGTCAAATCACAAATTGCCCACTGCAGAGGTCATCCTCTGAATGGGATTTAAAACAAAAAAGGTCGAGCAGTGATGGTCAGTAGAAGGCTGCAATTCGTCTTGGACACTTCCTACCTAGTAAGGTTTTTCTCCCTTTTAAGAGGTGGCCACATTTGGGGTATGCAAAAGGATCTGTACAAGGGGTGCTCAACCGCTAGGAAATTTGGTGGCTGAGGACTGGTGGCCCTGCTCCCCTGCTCCCCATTTTCCAGCCCTGTGGGTGCACAGCATGGAGCCAGATCCCGATGTGCAGGGCCTGATTCAGCCCATGGGTCGGCCCCACACCACTTATTTAGCCCACAGAGCACCACTGATCTATACCTTACCCGCTCCAAAGCCCTCTCTCTCAAAGAAGCAGAGACAACAGAACTACCCAAACTGGGGTTTAAGCAGGACATAAAGAGCCAAGGCACACCTGCACTTTTTGCAGTGATGGGCTTTATAACAGGCCACGTTTTCCTCATTTGAGACAGCGCTTTCAGTAGTATGCTAGCCCTGCAACCCTGTTCAGTTTGGGGTGAAGGGAGGGGTGAGGGGGGGAGAAGTGTACCACCCACTGGAAATCAAAAGCTTCGCTACACGTTGCAGCATGCCAAGTTTTAAGCAGCCCTTCTTGAGTCAAAACTAAAAGCATATCGCCTGGAGCCACTACCTTTTTCCCTGCCAAACAGTTGGTTCTGACATCATTAGCTGGATCAAACAGCTGGGCAGGCTGACTTACGCCCCAGGTTGGGAGAAGAGGAGGGAGGTGAGAGGGAATAAAAACCTAGAGGCCAGAGAGAGGATCAGGGTAGGAACAACCAAGAAGGAAGCACACAGCATGCTCTGTGAAGCTTACAAAGCAAAATGCTGAAGCCCAAATACTGAAAAAAAAAGTAGTTTATTATACAAGGGGGAAACCTTGAAGTGTACAAAGCATCAAAATCAACCCGACAAACATTTTCTTCCACACAGCTTGTGTAAGTTTTCAGTGCAGAAAGCAACACACTTGAAGAAAGGCAGCGCTGCTTGAAAAGTAGCTCGCTGCTATGAACACGACTGAGACTGCTGCTACCAAAGGCAGCACGGGAAAGCTAATCCTTTTATCCATCCCCTGCATCTCAAAAGCAGCTGGACTGCTCACTCATAGCTGCTAGCTCTTTTCTTCCAGCCAGCACTTGGCAGACAAGATAAGAGTTGGATTTCCCTGCCACTGACCTACGGAGTGCAGAAGTCCCATTTTCTAAGCATGCCCTCTTCATAAAACAAGTCCAATTCCAAGTGCCCTCGCCCTGCATCTTGTTCAGCCAGGTGTATTTGGAACCTGTGGTGAAAGACATCCTCCCAAAGATCAGGGAAGCAGCCACATTTATCCTTCTGGCTTTCTCAGCAGCATTTAAAATAGCACTGGCGTGCATGCAAGCAGCTGCCAGGGTGAATGAACACACAATGAGAGGCCCTGGGCCTGTATTCCCAGTCATTATGGATAACCAACCATTCCATCACAGCTGCGACAGAGTCCAACGAGACTCCGTACTCCCGGCCCACACTCATCATTTCATGATATTATTTGATACGAGCTGTGCAGAGCGCCAGAAGGAAATGGAGATAAAGTGCCTGCAGCTGAACATACAGGAAAACATTCTTTTTTTAAAGATCAGAGTATCAAACTAGCATAAAAATCGTATAAAAACACCCTCCTAACAGACATTTTCTCCCATACAGCTTGCCTAGACAAAGCATGTCAAGCAGATGGTTTTCAGGGTGGAGGCCAAGATAATAACAGGTAACAGTTGAGAACAAGCACCATCTTTTAATGTTAACCCAGCCTGAGAGCTTTTGATGCAAGGTAACACTACCACCTCTCTCGTTTTGTAGCCTTCCAGCTCTTTCTATCCACCAGAGCGCTACCGAGTGCCCCTGCCATGGTGGCAGAACATAATAATTTGTGACAGACCACATGAAGATAACCCCATCTTACCAGGCTCATATCTGGCGCCAGCAACCCAGGCTCTCTTGACCCGACCGCTAAATTATGCGTGAAAGTCCAAAAGACACCGAACCTAGAAGACCCTCAAGCAAACAACACACACACAAGCCTCATGGCTCCAAACAGCAAGGGACTCTTGAAGCTGCAGTCTAATGGAGACAGAAGAGAATTCACATTAAACGCAAAAGCCCTACCAAGAAACACACTAACCTGTGCACACAATTCTCTTCCTGGGAGAGGACAAGAGAAAGAACAAGCCACAGACAGCAGATGTCAATCATGATGCTTCAAGCACTTCTGGAAGGCGCAAAGAGATTCCTTGTTGATGACAGCAGTAAGAGACTTCATGGATTAAAAATACCTGGATAGGCGAGTTCTGTACTACGTGTACAGAAGGGCTCACTTCCACAACCCAATGACTGTGCAACGCTCTTGCCAGAAGTGTCACCAATGAGCAGCAGATCCCTGAGGGTCCAATTCCCCTACACCTTCCAAAGATCATCTGAGCTCATTCATGCTTCATAAACGTCAGTAACTTTCCATAACAGTCAGCACGGGTTGGATTTTCAGGAGTGCCGACTGAGCATACGTCCCAGTGAAAGCCAATAGGACCTGCAGCTGTAAAATCATTTAGGTGTTTCTAAAAAAACCCAGTTCCATTATCCAATTTCAAAAGCTGGGCAGTATTAAGTGATGGATGCACAAGGGCTTGTCACCACTGTGCAAAGAGGTTTAAAAATAGAGTTTAACTGACCTATTTTTATGAACTGTACAAAAGACTCATCAGAAAAATAGTTGCAAAGAGAAGCATAAGTGTATTTTTTTTTGTAGTTGTCCTTTAATTTTAAGTGCACCTAATTACCCATGAAATTAAATTAAGTGGATCTCAAGGAAGCCAGCATAATATTGAAAGATAAACCTCAGTGCAAAATGCTTAGTCAAGGACAAGAGAAGTCACGTGACACTAATCTGCAATTAGGTTTTTCTGGATGAGCATTAAAATCAGAGGGGCAGTACAACGGCTTGGCAAAATCCAACAGCACCAGGCTCGGGTCTTTGTTGCACTCCACTTTCAGAGACAGATGGGGGCCTCTGAAGGACGCTGCAGCACGTTTTGGGATTACCAGACATGGCACTGATTGATATTGATTCTCCAAGAACCTATTAAACCAATTGTATACAAAAGTTGAAAGCGGGGGGGAGAGGAGTAAGAGACACTTAATTCATTTTGTCCTTTTTTTTAAATAAGTGCAAAAAGTGCAGGAGTACTTGTGCCAAGTGTTACTTCAAGACATTCGCCAATTATAATAATCTAATTAACTGTGTGCATAAAAGCAACAAGCAAGCCCTGTAATAAGACAGCAAATCTGACCTGCAGCCATCTCATAAAATGAAAACTGATGCCTGCTTCTTCTATGCAAAGAATAATTAAAAGAACAGGTTTGGTTTTATTTTTCGTTAGCTCCATTAAATAAAAAGTAAATATCAAAGTGGTTATTCAATTAGAAAACTGGCAGTTTATGTGCTTTGAACTGCAATACAAAAAGACTAGTTGTCAAAAACTATTTTTGACCCATTATTTCCCCAAATGTACAAGATATGCACTTTACCTTTACATAGTAAGAAAATATATACACATTAATTACAGTAAAGAATACAGTATATCCTATAGTTTTTTAACTTTACATAATGTTAGCAAAAAAAATATAAACCCTAATAAAATTACATACAATATATTCACAACAGTAACTGACATGAAGGAAAGAATTAATATATTGTTCCAGTAAGGCAGACTGCAGAGAAAGAGAGGAAGTTGCATACTTTATATTGCCACCATAATTTTTTTGCCTTAAATAGTTCTACTAAACCAAACAAAAATATCCAAAGTAGTTTCCCCCCTCAACTCCCCAATTTCTATTGACATGAAACAAGAAATTTATTTTTCTGAATGGTGCCATCAGCCTGAATCTTGTTTTACTAGATTCAGGCCGACTGTCCTATGAAAGGTATATAGATGCTTTGGCTTTCTAGACTTCAATATAATTAGCACATTAACACCCAAAATGGAGGACAAGAAATAGCAATTTAAAAACAATTTAACAGCAAAGTTCAAAAGTGAATAAATCAGGTAAGAATATTTTTAAGCTTATAATAAAGTCACTCCCCAACGTTCTGTTGTAGTTCCCTAAATATTTACAGCGGGGATTTCTCTTTCAATTTAAGCCTTATATCTGTGCAAGAAATCAGAATGTGAAGTTTATCATGAGAGGCTCACCTACAAAGGGTAATACGAAATGCATAAACTTAAAAAAAAAAAATTAAAAAAAATAAATCACACCTTGCCTTAATTAACAAGATATTATCAGGTAGTGTTTCTACCAAATCCTTCAATTTAGCAATTTAAATAGAGTCTGCAGATTAAATACAGTATAAGACTTAAGTGGGAATGTTTGCTCATAGCACAAAAGAAGGGGACGGCTTTTGCCCTTGTTTTGTTATATACACAGCTCAGATTTTAGCAGGAGTTTTGAGAATGTGTGTATGGGCAAAACCTGGCACTAAGGAACAGGGGCAGGCATAAAATGTCTTTTACAACTACTTTTACATAGGCGGATAAAGATGATGGTGGGATGGCGGGAAGTAGAAGACCGGCAAGGTCTGGTTTTCCCAAATTTAAACTAAATTGATATCTTTAAGAGTCTAGTCATTTACAGAGAGGGGCTGAAGCCAGATTATGCAGTTAAATTTGCCTTTCAGGCAGAGAAATTATTACTCTAGTTGCAGCAAAATTACCCATGTAATATGGCTTTATGTAACCATTAAGTCTTCTGTGCGCGCACACTCCTGTCCAGGCTCTCTACAACCTGAAGAGGGAAAATGCATCTTGTAACGCTTCTCTTTAAATGCTGGAACAGGCAATACACAGTGGCTGAGCTCATTTATTTTGCTATATCAATCTGCCTGTTCTCCAGAACAGCTGTTCTCCACATCAGCCTCCATCACTTTCATCTGGACAGGCACCATTCCCACCTTGATCAGTTCATTCCAGACCATTAAAAGGCATCATACGGCCATGCCAGGTCTGTTCCACAGAACGGATAGAAAGCAGAGCTGCAGGCCAAACAATCTCTCAGTCCACTTCTGTCTGTCTAATTCTCCCCTTCAATACAAACACATACACACAAAAAATGGAAAAGGACAGACTTAATACTGCTTCCGAATGCTATCATTCTGTTTAAAGGGTTGCTCCCTTCTCTAGCAGTGCAACTGCAATACTTACGGGTGTATACAGGCAATAAAACAAATGGTTCTTTTCTTCTTTTAAATAAAATCTATTAAAAGAGGGGTTTTTTGTTTGTTTGTTTTTTTTTATAGGTCAATGGTTTTTAGCAAGGGAAGTAAAATGAGAAAGCTTCCCTTTTGGCTTTCAATATACTAAAACATTAGCAGCCAATTCAGACAAGCCATTAGGAGAAGCAAATTCTCTTATATTACATTTATACAAGGTTTGAAAAACAGGTAATCTATCAAAATAATGCAAATCAATGGGACAGGCATGTTTTTAATTGCAAACTGTACCAAGCTGATGTTTTGATTCTAGCGTCCGACTGCTTTTGTTTCAACCATGCTGAAATTTTCACTCAACTTGCAAAGGCTTTCTTGGTTACAGAAGAAGCTCTTGTTCAGTTTCTTTGTTTTTTTCCCCTGACCTGGTTGATGTTTCATGAATCTGGCACCCAGAAATCATGCAGTTTCCCCTAAAGAGAAAAAAAACCAAAAAAACAAAGCAGGAAACAAATTCAAAGAGACATAGAAATTTTATTCTGACAGATTAAAGCAGGCAAGTGGTTTGCTTCATCTGATATGTGGATTTACAGATTTGGTTGCAGTATAATCTTAATTGAAAAAGCTTAACAATGAATAGCAGGTTTCCGACACAAGTCAAACTCATGATCTCATTTTAAATGAGCTGGAAAGTTGCAGCCACAGTTTTTACAAACCGATTTGCAGAAGCTTCTGCAACAGTGTCACCCTCTACTTCGTTTCCATTAATAGTATAGTCTTTCACACCAAAAATCTCATTCATTCCACCAATGCTGTAAATGATGATGCACATCAGCAAAACAAGAGGAGCCAAAGTGTGAAAGATGCCAGTGCTTAATTACACAGGCTTTACATTTCTCATAGATTCAAGCATTTATAATACATGCTTTAACTCAATACAAGCAGCTTCTCTCAGATCACTGGATTGAGACAAACAAAATTCCCTCTGCAAAGGTTAGTTACATTTTATAACTTGGGGGACTACTACTTGGTATCAAGGCATTGTCCCATGATATAAAACGTGAAATCGACAGGATAGCCCCAAATCTCTCCGATACCCAACAAGTAGCTACCTGGTCTCTAGCACCAGTCAGAGCCAAGGTTTCACCCAAATACCTTACCTGTAAAGCTAAAAGCATGCTCATCTACTAAATAATTTACTGAGCTGCAATGATTTTATTTTTTAAAACATTAACATGTTCTACTTTCAAATGAACCTGACACTTTGCAACAAGAAAAACTGGTTTAATAGCATTACCTGAGTAGGACGAGAGTTTTGTATCATTTCCTGCCACTTGCCATATATCCTAGCAACTAAGTCTTTTACCTGCAAATTAAAAAAAAACCTACATATTAATTAATAAAAATTGAATGGTCTAGCCATTAAATGAAACAGAATCAAACGAGATTGATTTTCAGGAAACATCTGAAGAGCTCCCTTTTAAAAACAGTTATGTGGCAGGAGTCGAGTGAATGGCATATTAGGTCTCCATCACTTGGAACTTGCTCTGCCATATATTCCCCGTGCACATACTACAGCAAGACAGTTCCATATGCAGCCAGGCACATAGGTAATGCTGGCACCCAGGACCAGTGTAACTACCTCTGCCTCCCAAACTATTTCATTTGGGGGTGCACAGGGAGTGCCATGGAAGTCTTGTAGCTGGCGACAGCGAATGAGGGGATCTCACTATAGTAACCACTCTGGCCAAATAAAGTATCAACAATGATGCCATCCATCTTAAAAAAAAATAAACATTCCTTGATTAGAAAGGCCATGCTTTACAGCAACCAGTCCTGAGCGTGCACTTGGTATAAGCTCTTCAGCAATGAAAATTTGTCTATGTGTTATTATAGCACACAAACAAAATATTTCCACCTGGGAGATGCTGCATTGTAATATTAAACTGAGCTGACATGCTGGGGCAAAGCAGTAATACAAACTTTCCCATCCCAAGGGGCATGGAAATAAGCACATACAAAGGGTATGGATGGTGCATGTTAAAGACTTATTCACTTGTTGTTGAAGTGCAGTATTGGCTGCAAACATCTATCAAGCATGAACTGTCAATAAGAGGCTTTCTGTAAGGAAGGAATTTAGTGAATTTTAAGCTACTGTTAAAAAAAAAAAAAGTGGCAAAAAAAATAAAAAGGCTTCACTTGACTGAGCAGAAACATCTCTTCAAAATTGAAGGCTATCATGCCATCCATCTACTCTGATCCAGCTTGCTACTCCATCTTGCAAAGACAGTAAGGTCAGGGACTTGAGACCACACACTAAATGACCAAGCAAACCAAGGGGCGCTCTGCATCATCTTTTTGGTGACTTAAATCAATAACTTTGTCTTTAACTAGCTTGCTGACTTAAAATAAAAGCCATGGGAACAATGCAAAACCACCAGGTTAGCTAAGTGCATACATTTGTCTAAGCTGGACAGCAGAAGAGGACTACTTCCCAACCACTAGCCACGACCTTCGAGCAAAGAAATTAAGCACCATCACTGGCTCCAGAGAGTCCCTTTATGCAGGAGATCCTTATTCAGAAGGAAGGTAGCTGCACATGGTTTTTACAGTGCATGATTAAAGCAGTCCTGCAGATGGCAACAAGATCATTTGCACTCCATCGTAATTAAGCACACGTGTAAGTTTTCACAGAACTGGGGCTTAGGTGTAAAAAGTCAGCACAAAAGAAAACCAGGAGAAAAAATTCAAGGCTTCCTGATCTGGGGAAGGAAACGAGAATGCAAGTCAATACACAGGCACACTTACCTTAGTTCTGTAAAACAGTCTTGCATCTTCCCTAATATCACACTTCACATGTTTATCTAGGGCACTGCTGAGCCTCAGTAAGTGTTGCTAAATACAAATAAAATGCAGGGCTGTTAAATCTATTATCCCAGAATTTCAAGTTTCAACAAACAGTAAAAACAGACAAAACTGAAAGGGTTATCTTGACTGGGCCATTTCCTAACAATTTTTAAAAGTCTGAAGCATTTTCCCCAAAATACATGTTAGGTAGGATGACACAAACTAGAGCTAGCAGAATTCCTGGCCGCTGATGTCAGATGCTAGTGGGATCTGGTTAAACCAGCACTAAACTTTTTTAAATAGCATTTCCAAAAAGGTCCTATTCAAAGCAGAATTATAATCCAAAATTTGACCAGCTAGTTTACAAATCCTTTAGGCCCTAGAAGAGCTAACAGCAACGCCATTCAGACTCATTTTTCCATGGAATGTTTTAAAGCAAGGATGACAAGCACAGGTGCCGTAAGTGGTACAGGCATCCTCCGAGCGGCGCACAGCAACCTGGGGAGGCAGCACAACAGCAAATAGGACCGAGATGAGAACAGAACATCAGACCAGACAGGCAGCACAGGGCAGGGAGCAGGAAGCTGAGCAGCAGACTGGGTAAGGGAAAGCAATCAGTGTGGCACTTGGGGAGACTGCAAGTCTACTTTGGGGCACTCCTGCCAAAAAGGTTGACTCCCACTGCTCTAAAGTTACAATAATTAGAAGTACAGTTGTTCAGCAGAGGTGAGAGTCAGGTCACCACTGGGCATTTCCTTTATAGCTAGTGGTAACTCTCCTAGCAGGCAATGAAGCAGAGGGCCAGTTGGCAGGGATGAATCATTCATTCTTGAATAACAACTAGAATCTGCACTGCAGAGTTTTCAGCGAGTTGCAAAATTAGGATCAGCCCAATAATGATGGGGGCTGTGTTAAGGTGTAGGCTTTATACAAGGACATCCTGTGTTAAAGACACAGCCAATGGGCCAGATTTGGCTGCAGAGCTTTATTATCCTGCCCAGTGCTGCCTGTGGACGTCAGACTGACCCTACGTGCTGCATGTAGCATGCGCTGGCCCCAGCCTGGCACTCATGGCATGCAGCATGCAGAGCCAGTCCAAGGCATGCACTGCACATAGCACGTGCACCAGACAGGCTCTGCATGCTGGGTCTAGGCTGGATATGGATTGGCCCTTCAGACCATGCTCCAGATTCAGCATGCAGGGCCAGTCCAACACAGGCGCACCTAAGGCAGTCCCATGTCCTGGACTAACCAGGGTATGCAGGCTCATCTGTGGGCCCAGATGTGGCCTGCTGACTGGCCCCACACCCTTCATCCAGCTCACAGGGCCAGGTGAGTTTGCCTAATGCCTATTCCAGGGGCATCAGATAGTCAGATTTATTTCATTTAAAGAGCAGAGGAGAGAATTTTCAGTTACATCTCTCATTAATGACATTGGAGGATGTATAGTACAATTATATATTTTTTAAAAACCTCTCACACTATTTCTAGAAAGAATTTGAGAACAGATGCTTATAGAACATTAGTCGCCACCACTTCCAATGCATCTTTTACTAGCATTAACTTTGGTGGTGAGGAAGGAGGGTCAGATTTATTTACTTAGCAGCTATGCGCAGATCCACAGAGACTCAATGGCAGATGACCTTAGAAAATTCACACTAAAAGAGCCATCAGGAGGTCACCTAGCCCCTGGCTCAAGGCAGGATCATCCCTAATGAAAGCAGCCTACGCTAGCATTTGTCCAATCTGCACTTCGCTTCCAAGAATGGAAATTCTGCAACATTAATTACCTTGCAATAAGCAATTAAATTCACTGTGGAGAAATACTGAAAGGTCGGATGACTAAAAGAGGAACAATCTCCTGATAGTGCTTCAGTAAATGATTTCTGGCATCCTAGGTTACTCACAAGAGCTGCAACATTAGCTTTCAGTTGTACACTTTGGAATTTAACTTGCTTTGTTGGTAAGTTTGGCATTTACAGCGCATCAGAACATTGGACACTTTTTTTTTCCCCCAAATCAAAACATGTTTCGACTCCCATGGAAAACATCTGCAATACAGTGATTTAAGGGAAAAAAGCTCCAGGGTGTACTCTTTCAGTCACTTCCAAGGACAGATCAAAATAACACAGCCAGATGTCTGACCCTCACCAAGGTCTTTCAACGCTATTTCTCCATCATTTTTTTTTTAAAGACTTTTTGGTTTGGGTTCTATTCAGGAGGAGAATCAAAATTTTGAAGCTATACAAGTTAACATAAAAAGGAAGTTGCCTTCCCCTGACCAGCTCTAACTGATACTATATCACGAATGAGACACTTTATTAGTACGGAATTATGAGTCGAACAGTTTTCCTCCATAAATATCCATCAATTAAACCAGTAACTTACCCTCTGATTAGAATTCAGAACATCAAAGCAACAAACTTCACTGACCAAGTGAAGAAGAATGTAGGTCAGATAGTAAGCCTAAAAAGCAGCCAAAAAATGTTTATTACAAGTTTGAACTTGAGTCTCAGCAGTTAGGTGTAGACACAAATGCACTCACTTAATTACTATAGCTAGATACACTGGATACATGCAATGGGCACACTATTTTTCTATCATCCAGCCTCAAATCAAAACACATTCTGAAACATTCTCAAGCAACAGCAGTTTCCATGCTACTAATACAAGCACAGTATGAAATTATTAGAGGGGAGAACTTCTGGATAAGATGAAATACTCAGAATTAATAAGGGCATCTTCCTTAGGCTGAGAAAAGGTTAATGAAAGTATTTCTTTTTGAAATCTGAGAGGAAGGATGGTTTTGTGGTTACGGCACTTAATTGGGAAACAGGAAACTGAGTCCAATTCCTGCCCCAATTCCAAGTCCTGCTTCAAGACTCTGTGACTGCAGAAAGGTCATGTAACACACATGTCCAAATCCCCATCTTCAAATAGAGAAATATAAACCTTTCCTTTCACGTACACACCCTCTGGGCACAGTGCATCTTACTGCACACAAAGTATTCCACATGTGCATTAGGGCCACAATATCAGATGGATAATACAACATACCATTTCAGTTAACCTAGCTGGATGGTAGAACACTAAAGGCAAAATGCTGCCAGACATTGTATGCAGAGATTGCTCCAGGCACTGAATGGAGGCAGAACATGTTCACAGGCACACAACTGTAAATAATCAGCTTCAAATACCTGCTGCTCTAGCTCTGTCTGAAGGTATTCTCCAGTGAGGTCACCCTGCTGGTCCATTCTTTCTTCTAACTTCTTCTTTAATATACTAGAAGGCTTTATGTACACCAGATACTGATACAGGTGAGAGAGCTATATAAAAACCAAGCAAAAAAAGAAGTTGGTACCGCCTCAATTGCAAAATTCAACACAAACTACCACTAAAAAATTGTTGAGTTCTTCTCAGTGAACAAAATATCTAAGAGCAGGGGTTTTAAATGAAGGAGGCAGCTTTCATACTGATGTTTAATTATTCACAAGCTACCAAGTTATTATGCATTGCATTATTAAACCAATACTGATAACAACCAAAAGCAGACTCAAAAGGCAACTTGAAGCAGGGGAAAACTGCATGTGAAAACAGATCTGATGTGCGGAGTTATGTTTGCTGCCCTCAGATTACAGTAGAATAGTGTGTGTCTGGTTTGTCTCATGGTTCTGGGCTTTGCTGGTTGCTACATGGGACTATGAAAGAATTTCTTCCCCTCCTATTGCTATAGGTGCCATGGTTTGGGTGTTTTGTTGTCATTCCCCCCACTCCCTGCTGTCTCAGAGGCACTGGGTCCTGGCTGCAGCCCAGGCTGGGGATTGAGACTGGACTGCGCCAATGCTCTTGGTGGGAATTCAACTCAGAGGTGCCTGACTAAATGATCTTGCCCCTCTGCTCATGATGGAACCAATCACTACATTTGGGGTGAAGAAATTTTATCCCATGGTAAAGGGTAGGGGTTTTGCTTTCATCAGTAGCAGGGAACAGGGCCTTCTTTATTTGGATCTCTCAAGTGCATTTTAACAACCCTTGCAGCAGGGCACTGACAGTCCTCATCCCCTGTTTTACCTGTGGCAAGTTAAGATGCTTCTGGTGTCTTTGGGTAGTAACCTTGTTCCTCAACTATAAGACTGCACTGTGTTGTTTTAGGAATAGGTCAGACGAGGACTGGTATAGGATGGTTTAAGCAAGGATGATCTTGCCTTGAGCAGGGGGTTGGACTAGATTACTTCCGGATGCCCTTTCTAGCCCTACTTTTTATGATTCTATGAACCAAAACATGTATTACAAAATAAAACACAAATAAGCTCTGAAACAACCAAAGGAACTGAAGACCTGTATGTAGAGAACTATAATATTTTTTGTCAACAACATTTTAGAAATAACTGTCATCTTGCAGAGCTGCTGAACAATAGCAAATACCAGCTTCACAGAATTAAGATGTGAAGCAGAACAAGATTAGTTGCTAATGGTCAAAATGCAAAAGTGAACCTATTATGTTGTCCTTCAATTTCAAACAACCCTCTCCTTCGATAAGCACTTAAAACTCTAGAGCAAACCGCACAATCTTTTTTTTAATTAAGTTCAGTGCACAGTACCTGCTGGTCACTGGTGTCTGGTATTCTTGTATTCTTTTGGTTAAGAAATTTTGAAATGATTATGAGGCTAAGGCATCTTCTTACTTGTCTGAAAAACAAAATATATCTTCTGTTAAGTCCTTTTTATGATGTAGTTGAGGCAAAGTATGACTGCCTGTGTGCTTTAAGCAAGTCAACCTAGTTTACTAAGTAAAAGTAAAAGAAACAAAACCAGGAAGCGGGTAAACATTTAGGAGGAGCGGCTCTCGCCTTGCTGCACTCTCTCATGCATGTGTTTATCAGATGCTTGGCCTCTAAGCCCAGAGAGAAGGCACATGGGGTACCTCTTCATGACATGTTGTGCTTACTTCTGTTTAGGTGGACCTGCGATGGTCCAGGA